CATCTGGGCTCACCGAGTGTTAAATAGCCCCGGTGTGGGCTGCCACGGGGTGTTTTTCCCCGCTGGGAATCGGTCCCACAGCGCCCAAACAGCACCGGGAGCGGGTCTGGGCGCCAACGGCGCCGGGACGAGGGGCCGCAGCCCACAGGGGAGCCCCCAGGGCAGACGCTGAGCACCCCGGGCCCAACGAGCGACAGCAGAGTGGACGATACTCAGGTTTAAGAACAATTTTCGGGTTTAAGAGGCATGTGAGGATTTTAAACATCGAGATACGCGTCATCTCTCAAAGGGAGTAAGAATTGTAAAGGCAGGCAAGGCACTTCAAAAACTCCATGCGCAAGCAACTGTTCCACCCATGCACTGCCCCTGATTTTTTAGGTAAGTCAGCACCAAAAAAAGGATGAAAGCAGCATTTTAATAAGAAGCTACATCAAAGTTGCAAATTACAGCAGACCCCCCCACCTCTGAAAGAACTCGAGATAGAAAGAAATGATACAATTACTACAGCTTATAAGGGAAGCTTAGGCTACATGAAACTGTCAGACTCTTTGCTTCTAAAAAGGGGAACTGTTAGTATCCAACAAATAAAGGAACATCTTCCAGCAATTGATTTTGGCTTTAATCCCGCTTAAGCACTACAAAAACCCCAGCCCTCTGCACCTCTGTAAATCAGAGCTCATCAGCCAAGATGCTCGGTTGAATACTCGGTTTTAAAAACCAAAACAACGAAACAAGACAGTACAGAGTCATAAACGTTCAGAAGATATATTAAACATTCAACATGGAGAATACACAGATTTACATGGCAACCCTGTCCCAGACAAACAAAACACAACTCCTCATCCAAAGCCTTGAAAAGCAGTCCGTTCACTTAGTCCAGCTGACTTTAGGAATGTCGTAATGCTCAGTCAGAGTATCCAAGTGCCTGTTGAAATCCTGGGGGAGAGAAGGAGAAAGAAAACGTTTACTCTTTGGTGCGGGCATCACCACCGTTCAACCGCAAGACCCTCTGCCTCCCCGCTTCTGTGTTTCCTCCCGCCCAACGAGCCTGCGTGCTGATAAATACACACCGGCCTGAATAAGTCAGGATAATTTAGCTTACCTCCACTCTCTGCTTATGGGTTTTCGACGCTTTCTTCAGGATCCTCTCCATTTGCTGGAGGAAGACACAAGAGAGGCCGGTTACTTCCAGCACTTGTAGCGCCTCAGGGGCCGCATCTGAGGGGTCGATTGGGGGTTTTAGATCCCCGCCCCGAACCCCCAGACAAGCTCTGGCCCAGGCAGGGCAGCCCTACCCGCTTCTCCTGCATCTTCTCGTAGGCCACCTGCGCCGGGGTCCGCTTGTCCAGGCCGCGCTTCTTCTCCTCCTCCTGCTTCTTGCTGCTCACGATCTGCTCCAGGATCTGGGCCTTGTCCTTTGCCTTCTTCTTCTTCCTGCGGGCAGAGGGCGGTCAGCGCCC